CAAAGAACACGTTTGCCATAATTATTTATATTAATTTTTAATTCAAATATTCCCTCCATTTAAATTATGTAAGGGTGCCCCTATTATTATTAATTAATTAATTATTGTTAGTAATATGATTATTATAAATTCATCTTAAATTTTTTATTATTGCTTTAAAACCAGCAAAAATAAGTTCAATTAGAGCATAGGGAAACATTATTGGAAATAAAATCACAAATAAGAATAAAGTTCTTAAAAAACTTTTCTTACAAAAATTGTATTAATAAATGGGATCAAAGAATTTTGTTATAAGATAGGTTAGAGCCAAATAAGGTAGAAAGAGTCCAACAAATATTATCATCACAATGAATGCAATATTATATAAAATTATTTCTTATTTTTTACATGAATAACATTAAGATTGATTGTTTGTAAAGAGATCTAATTATTTTCTACAATGAATGCATAAATTAGTATTACAAAATTAACAATACCTCTAATTCTCATTTTATATAAAATTTAGAGTCTTACACTTTTGACATGTAAATCCATATTACATTAGTTACCAACATAATTCACAGATAATTAATTCATTATCTATAACAACAACAAAGTTATCTTAATGAATTGATTAGTTCTTATTATTCAAAGCAATTAATTTCAACACAATTTATGAGATGTAAAAATTCTAGTATTATCGTTAGAATTCAGCAGGAAATAAAAATAATCCCTTTTTAATCTCTCCCTTATGTATTTCACATAAGGAACAACAGTCAAACATAACAATAAAAATTATTATAAAAACATCTACTATATGTGATATAATTTAAATATTTATTTAACTATAATATTTGATATTATTTATCAGATTCTTATTTTAATTTAACTCATTTTACAATAGATTTAGATATAATCATATTAAATTGGCCATAATTAAAAAGAATTTAAAATAGGATTTCATAAAAAAAAAATTAAGAATCTTTTTTATTCTTATTTATATAATCATGAAGAAATAATATCTACATCTAAAAAATCTTATTTGGATTGAATTTGATTTAATTATACATCCTTTAATTGTCTTGTAGAACTCTAAAGAGTAGTTAAATTCTTAATTTTATTTTCAGGTAAACTTGGCTATGATTTCTTGTATAAATTATCCTTTTTCTAACCATTGAGATTGATGCTTTCAATATCAAAATTATTCTCTATTTCTTCTTCAACTTCATTTGAAGATCCTAATTTAAAATTCTGAGATTTCAAAATCTAAGTTTCTACTCTCTTTTTCTTATTGTACCTTAGCTATCTTGATAATTTTTCAATTTTAACTAGAGAATTAAAACTGTATTAGATTGTTGGTTCAACCAATTTTAATAGTCTCTAATTCATTATTTTTTCAGTTTCATTTGGATCTTCTGCAAGTGCTAATTCTTCATAAGCTTCATATAATTTGTTAAACTTCTTTTCAGTATTATATTTTTATCTAATACCAAGTAAAGATTTAGAAGACATTGTTAATCTAAGTGTATCATCTCTTTTATTTTTTAGATCACCATGTATTAAACTTTGATCATATTTATCTTGATTGATTTTCTTTTTAACACAAACAACAGGTTTTTATAAATAATTAAATACCTTTCTTTATGTTTTATTAAAGATAACATGTTTAATTTTTTCAATTTCTTATAATTTATTCATTATAACTAGAATATCCATATCTCTTAAAATCATTTTTCTAGACTTTTCAAATAATTATGATTAATAATTTACAGCTGTATTCTTTTTAAATGAACCAGATACCTATTTAGCTAGAAAATGAACACCAAAGGATAGTTTTTTTCTACTTTCTAAAATTAATTAAACAATAAGACTGAGAAATTTCTTTTTATCCTATTATAAATAAAAGGTTTAATTGCTTTCATGACAATGATCAGCACATTTTTCTACCTTTAATTTATCAGTCTAAGGTACTTATTAAGTTGCAAGATGATTTACAATTTCATCATCAATATCATCATTTTAATAAGATTATTGATTAATAAATTTAAGTCCTCCTGCCAATCTTGTTAAATTAATTATTCTGTGAGCACTATTTTTAAATTTTTATACTGCATCTTCAATTGATTTAAGAGATTCAAAGATTTTATTGACCAATAATTAAAAAGAGAATACCATCTATCCTTTTTATTTTTCAGGCATATCAAATTAATATAATGAATTGGCTAATTTAATCTACAATCCTGTTTGATTGTATCTTAAAATAAAATAACCAAGAATAGTAGCTAGAAATTATGTAATTCCTCCAACATAAGAAAATAGCTCATCAAATCTATAATATTCTTTATAATAATGAGTTTCTGATTAAGACAATCTAATGAAAAAAGATGCAACTCTATTTATATTTGATGTAAAAACAGATGAAGCTTATAATTTATTCTCCATTATTGAAAATACATGATCCTATTCCAATACTTTGATTCCAGGTATGACTGATTTCTCAATTGAGAGTTGTTATTACTCTAAATAAACATCTGTTTTAATTTCTTATCCAATTTTTGCTTAGATGTAATAATCTGAATAAATGTAAGAGATATAATTATTAGGTATGTTTAAATTAGGGACTCTATTCAACATTAACGTATTAATTTTGAAGCTATTATTGAAATAACCTAATCGTTAGAATTGTTGGATTTCATCAGTTGAATAACAATCATCTGAAGAGCATATCGTTACCGATATTTTACCATATTAAAATATATTGGATTTTTAGGTACCTTATATTTAGAGACTATAATTGAGTGGGAGACAGTAGTAATCATTTAATTAATCTTTCAGTAGTTTCTAATGATTATAATAAATTACTACATTATAGGTACTTGCTTCATCAAATTCATTAAAATGTGAAATATTGCATTATTCTAATTTGTGTGTTGATATTTCTGTCTTTGTCATGTTTCCATTTTCATCCATCATTTGTAAATGAGATGTAAAAATGAAATTAAAAAGTCGTTTGGTTCCATTCTCTATAAGATTCTCAGCTTAGAAGGCTATCATGAAATCTTTCGAGAGTAATTCAGTGATTGGTGGATCGACATTGAGTACTTTATTATAGGAGATCTCATTAAATTATCATAATATCATACAGTGAAGGTTTCTTTATTTATAAGTCCTATAGCTCCTCTTATGAATATGACAGTCAAGACAAAAAAAAGTAAAATTGTACAGAAACCACCAAATGGAGATTAATGGGTCTCTTTTTTTCTGAAATTTAGTTTTACTTCAGCTCCAAATCTATCAAAATAAGAAACTTTTGTCAAGAATTTTTAAAGCATATTTAATTATTTAATTTAGACTATCATATTGTATTAATGTTTATATAGTATATAAATACAATTAATAATAATAATAATTGAGAATTAATATTAACATTTTACCATTAAATAATAACATAATTAAAAATAGATAAGATTGACAGAATATAATATATAATTTATGCTGTTTATTAATTAAAATTAATTTGCTTGCGTCATTCAATGACAGAAACAAAGTTAAAAATAGCTATGAGAAGATACTCATCTCCTTATTAACATAATCAATGTGACATTTCCTTCAATTGTCTCTTTCAAAATATCAATGTATTAAATCATAGAAGAATGTCTGATAAAAAGACATCATAAAAAAACAGTTTTAATACAAGGCAAAATTCTAAAGACAATTCAATGGAAGCAGACAATTAATTAAATAAGCATCATTTTTTACTTTAATATATTATTGGTGTAGGAGGATTTGGAAGAGTATGGAAAGTTAGTTATAAACAATAAGTTTTTGCTATGAAAGAAATCAGTAAGGCTTTAGTACTTTTAAAATAAAGTGTACAAAGTATAATGAATGAATTATAATTTTTAACTGAATTGAGACATAATTTCTTAGTCAATGTATTTTCTGCATTTTAAGACAATCAAAATCTCTATTTAGTATTAGATTATTTGGGAGGTGGTGATCTTAGATTTCATTTAGGAAAATTGAGGAAATTTACAGAAGAACAAACAAGTAATATATATTAATTTAAAATAGAATTTTTTGCTGCTTGTATTATTGTAGGATTAGAATATTTACATGAAAAAAATATAATACATAGAGATATCAAACCAGAAAATTTGATTTTAGATAATTAAGGTTATGTTCGTATTACTGATCTTGGTGTAGCCATTAAAAAAACTGGTTAGAATTTTGAAACAAGTGGTACACCAGGTTATATGGCACCTGAAGTTATATTTAGATAAGATCATGGAGTAGCTGTAGATTTTTTTGCTTTGGGAGTAATTTGTTATGAATTCATGACAGGAAGAAGACCATATTATGGTAATAGAAGGGAAATTAGAGACTAGATACTTGCTAAATAAGTGTAGATTCAAACATCTAGTGAAGGTTGGTCTACTGAATCAATTGATTTCATAAATTTATTATTATAAAGGAAACCACAAAATAGATTGATGAATCCTAGATAACATAAATGGTTTAAAAATTTTCCATTTGATTTATTACTTTCAAAAAAGTTAAAAGCACCATTTATACCTAAAACTACAGATAATTTTGATTAATCATAAATATATTATGAAGATGAAGAGAATAATTAGATCATTAGATTACATTAACATTTGATAAGAGAAAATCAGAATGTATTTTAAGGATATTTATATTAAGAAAAATAATCATAATTTAGAATCAAATAAAGAAAAAGTAGTATAAATAATAGTAAAATATTTTAATTTTATTGATTTGTATTTATTATTAGAATTTAAAGTATTATATTTTTAATAATTTGATTATTATATAAACTAATTTATGTACTATATAGATCTTCTATTATATTTATAAATTAATAATAATTTAAGATATCTAATATTGATTAAGCTATAACTATTAAGTTTAATTAATTTATATATATATAATAGTTAATTTTGAATAATTAATTTCAATAATTATACAATTTACATGTGTCTTAATAATTAAATAAATTTATGTTATAAACAATATAAGCTATATTCGGACTATTTGTATTGCTTAAAATCTTCTACTATTTTATAATGCTTATCTTAAAGTGTTTAGGCATTGTTAAATGGGAAGATGAATCTCCTCAGCAATAAAATTAGTTATAGTAATAAGTAGAACAAAATACATCAATTATATAAAATTCTCATTAAGAGAAAAAAGAGAATGAAAAAACTAAGAAAAAGAAATCAAGTAAACAAAAAAAATAGGAAAAGGTTATGAAAAGTATGTTAGAAAAGAAGGAAGATGAAGTGAAGTTGAAATAAAATGAATAAAAATAAATTGTCACTTAATAATAAATTGAATTTCATAGAATGGAAATGTAAAGGTTATAGGATTTAAAAAGAATAGAGGAAACTTTGCGTTAAGAATAAAAAAAGGAAATTGAAAGATAAGTTTAACTAAAACTTGAAGAATTAACAAATAAATTGTAAAACAAATAATCTGTAAATAAGTAATAATAAAAAAAGAGTAAAAGATGAAATTATGTGTATATTATTTAATAATTAGAAATATGAAATTATTTAATGTATCAAATATATTATATTTATATTGAATTTAAGAATTGTTTAAAATAATATAAAATCATAGCAAATTATAAATCAATGCTTTGATTTCATTTCTTGATAAAAATTCATCAAAAATCATTTTCTTATGAATATCATTGAATTCTATATCTGAAAATATAAAATCTTGTTGATTTAATGCTTCAGTTTGTTTTTGATATTATTTCAATGATTGAATAGGTTTAAGTAATTGTCTAGGATTTTTGCTAAGCTGTTACACTTTTTATATTTCAGTGTTGAGTTTATGTTATTTAACTTTTTAAACACATTCCTAAAAAGTTAATTTGAATAGAATACTAGGAATATTTTTTCAATTTAATTTTCTTCAAATGCTTAATCCTATTTGACTTATTCAATATTCTCATATATCTTTTTAGTTTTGATTAATTCTTATTCAGCCTTTTAATATTATTCATTGACTCCTTCAATGTCCATTCCTGTTATTTCTGGTTATCTATAAGTTGATTCATGACTAAAGTATTCAGGATTGACTGTATTAGTTTAAATATTTTCTAATTACTTTTTTAATTATTAGTTAGTAATTTTTGCACTCATTAATTAAGTATCTAGAAATTGAATTTCTGAGATTAGATCTTTAGTTGTTGTCATAACTTTGCTTAGACTATTCTTATATTCAATACATTTATTAGAGAATTCCATGGATGATTATAATATTTTTTATCTTTCTTCTTCAATTTCTTATCTTTTCTCTTTCAATTTACGTTGTACTTAATCTTCTGTAGTTTCATTAGTCAATTATATTACTTATGCTTATGCTTCATCAATTGATTATTTGATATTGCCTCTTAATTCATCTTCTTTGGTTTTAAAGATTCTCCCAATAGTTTCATTCATTTTTTCAAGTAATTTATTTATACTTTAATGATGTTCAATAATTTATTGTTTGGTTTGAGTTTGAGGAATTTTGATTCTTTCAGTAAATTTAGAATCAGGAGTAAGTGCAATTTATTATTAACTTGCAATGTCATTAAAAAACATAATAATAAATAATGATTATATTAATATATATAAATTTAATTAATATATTTAACATTTTATACAAATTTTAGGCTCGTCTGAAAACTCAAGTTAATATTCTTGTATCTTGTAAAGAAATCATCATATTCAAAGTATATAAGTTGTATAGTCATAACTAAAACTTGAGAAATATTTATTTTGAACAAGGATGAATCCATAAATATAGTACTATAGTGAATCAGACTGTGAAGCAATTGATTAGTCAATTTGTCAATCCTTTGGAGGATTCTTTGATGAAAACAGTCAAATTAACAAGTAATCTATTAAATTCATAATTAAGACCTTAATCTATTGATGATTAATTTGAATAGATTAGTGCACCTAATTCTGTCTAATTTTCAACATAATGTTCTTCAACAGGTGAAAAAGATCATAAAAGTGAAATAGAAGAAATTGTAGATGATTTGAAATGTTCTGAGATAGATCCTAGTGAAGTGAAGTCATTTTAACCTTAGATTAAATGTTAATGTAGTAAATCATAGTGTCAACAAAGTTATTGTGAATGTTTTGCAAGAGGTAAGACATGTGGTAAACACTGTGGTTGTTAAAACTGTTAGAACAAATAAATGAATAGGAAATTAGAGAAGATTTAGAAGAGACTAATAAAATAAAAAAGAAATAAATAAAGAACACCAAGATATTTAAAGGGATGTACTTGTGGAAAATCTAAGTGTTAGAATAAATTTTGTAGTTGTCATTAAGATGGAAAATATTGTAATTCTGGATGCAAATGTGTGGATTGTAAAAATATGTACAATTTTTGTTTGAAAATATTCCCATATATAGATTATATGGAATCAAATTAGATGGAATCTAAGAATGTTGTATAATTTATAATTGGAAATGAAAATAGTGATAAATTTGAGATCTTCAATAAATATTTAAAAAAAAGTGATATTTGAATTATATATATATTTATATATTAAAAATCAATATATTTATAAATATTTTTATAATAAGATTATCAACAATAAAATAATAATTTAATTATGTCAGACGATTAAGTAGCTAATGAATTAGATGATGTAGAAAAGAATTAAGTTAAAGTAAAATTTCCTTAAAGATCTTGGATTTCTATAATATAAAATAAAATTGTATCTGTAAATCAAGTAATAATCATTATTTTACTAATATCTTAGATAAGTCAATCAGAATTTGAAGATAAACATGATACTAATATTGGAATAACTCCAGGAAGAAGTGAAAGAGAATCTTTTTGTAAATCCAAACATGGCTCTTCACTCTTTTTTCGAGAGGATTTAGGAAAATCTAGGATTAGTGATTTTGATCCTACTTCAATAAAATATAGAGTAATCTTATTATAATTATTTATTAAGACTCAACCACATGAAGTCAATTTCAGAATCAAAGTCTTTATTAAGTATCTAGCCCTTAGAATTTTGTTTTCTATTATTGGTCCATTTCTACTGATTTATGGATTATTTAATACAGAATGGATTAACTTTATGAAAAATTTCAGGATTTATGGTTGCACAAAAGGAACTGCATTCAATTATTTTCGTTGGATTACAAATTATATTTTTTTCTTCTCTTTTGTATATTATATTGGAAACTATGGATACAAAAGAATGCATTATGAAATTGGATTCTTTTGTATCCTATTTGTAACAGAAAATGTAACTTATGCTATCAAATATGCATTCTTTCATCCTTCAAAATTAAATCTAATAGAAAGATTTGATATGGATGTTATAGGTGACTTATGTGAACAAAGTATAAACCCTTATCATTGGGCATAATAAATACCTTCTATGATAAATAAGGAATTTGAATAATCAATGAAAAGACATCAAATTGAACCAACATCTTTTCAACTTTATTTTATGGTAGCACCAAATCCAGAAAGAAAAAAAAGAATTCAAGTTGGATTTCGAGATACTGGAGGACATTAGATGTATGAGGATATAGCAGCTGATTGTATATCAATGGCTAGAGAGATTGTTGAAGAATACAATAAGAAATGCCAGCTTAGATTTATAAATAAATTCTCAATCTTTATTTCATTAATAAGAGTAGTAGCCTATATTTTTATAATGAACTTCTGTAGTGAATCTGTTAAAGATTATATAATAGTTATTTAAATGTGCATTTTCTAATTTATGTACTTTTATATGATAATTGTATTGATGATGATTACATATAGAGATTTAAGAAGAAAGGTATTTGCCATGACTCAATTATCTCATCTAATATCAGCTGAAAAAGTAGAAGTATATTAAGAATCAAAAATGTTCCCTACTTTAAATTTATTATGTTGTGTATCTTTATACTCTTGGGTCAATCTAAGAAAAATGATTCTAGATTATGGATTATAATACACAAGGAGATAATCCTTCATGTTATCTTTTATAATGATACTTAATGCAATCATGATGGTCATTATGACATTATTATTCTATGTTGGATATATTACCATAAATAGTATACTATAATAAACTGTTGATTTTGTAGTCATAGCATCAATATCAATTGCATTAGTATTACAAGGTGCCAGAATTAATGCTCATTGGTGTATTCATAGAGGATTACTACGTAAAAACCTATTCCTTATTTAATAATTGTCATATCAAATCTTCAAATCTTTAGATTATACATTTAAACCTGAAGATCCAGTTTTTAGTGTAATTTTATATTTATAATTTATTAGGCTTTTTAAAAAGTACTTGATAATGCTACAACAAGTAGTGTAGTTCAAGATGATTAATTTTTGAATTATTCATTATTTTGTATTCATTCAATATAAAATGTGGTAAATGCATATTCTCTATAATATAGTATAATGATTTAGGTCAATAAGAGAAATGTTAACCATATACTGTAATGGGAATAGCTATGACTTATGAATTACTTTTATAGGTTTGTATTAGTACAATGGGATTGATCGGAACCTCGGGCTTAAACTTCATTTTATAAGTGACTACTTGATTTATTATTTAATTATATTTATGCTAATGGAAGAAGAAATCCCTTTAGAATTAATCGATGAACAGATAAGCATAGCACCATCTCTCTATTCTCATAGTTCTATTATAGCAAATATTCAAAACTAAATGATATAATCTAGTAGTAAAATTTAGAATGATCCTGTCATATTAAAAACATCTCTTACCAATGATATTTTTAAGGAAGATAACTTAGATATCTCATAATTTGATCCCAATAATCCTAAATACAAAAGTAAACCACATGAAGTTCATTTCTAAGTAACTTCATTTATAAAATATACTTTATTTGGTTTGATGGTTTAAATACTTGGACCACTTAATATCCTAATATTTGTTTGGAAACATAAATAAATGTTATAAAATTGGTAGCTTTATGGTTGTACATGGAAAGTTTTCTTTTGTTATTTAAGATATTGTATTGATCTTCTTTTGACTCTTAGTTTTATACTTGAACCAATGGATACTTTAACATTTTAATGTAATAATATTTATTTAATCTTTATTTAGTATTATTGTACTTTATTATTTAAGAATTGGCAGAGATTATATTATAAAATATTATTTTGGCATTTTATCATCCTTAGAAATTGGAATTATTGGAGAAATTTCCACTTGAAGAGATTTTTAATAAATTTGAAACTCAAATCAATCCAATTCTATGGTTCAAATAAACACCAGAATTAATTAAATTTGAATTAGAATAATCAATTAAAAGAATGCATATTGAACCTGGTTTATTTGTATTCTATTTCATTGTTTAACCTAATGAAAAGAGAAAGGAGAAGATATAGCATTATTTTGAAAATTCGAAAAAGGAATGCAAATATGCTGGTAATGGATTAAAGATGGCTATTGAAATTATTGAATATTACAATAATCAATCTCCAATGTATATGTACATTTTTATAGCCATTGCAGCTAGTTGTTTTAGAATTATATTGACAATTTTTTATTCCTAATTCTGGAATGGATCTTAATGTTAAATATTGATGTTTATAACAATTACATCATTAAATACTTTGGGATATTTTTTTGTAGTTTTAATTATGTTAATAACATTTAGAGATTTGTAGAGAAAAGTATTTTGTCTTAATTAATTATCTCATTTAATATCAGCATAATAAGTAGAGGAATTTGATGAAACTAAGATATTTCCAACTTTGAACTTTTTATGTGTATAATCTTTATTTTCTTGGTAAAATTTAAGAAAAATCTTAGTTGATTATGGTTTATAATATTATGAAAGAGAAAATGCTATAATTTCATTTTGTTTAGAAATTATTTTAGTTTTAATTACATTTGCTATTTTAAATATATTTGATGTAATAAGTTGTTATACATTAGATGATTCAGGTAAGATATCATTATTTGTATAAATTGGATTTGATGTATTAACAATTATGTTTTTAACTATATTGGTAGTTTTTTAAGGAGCACGTATAAATAAGCATTATAAAGTTCATTAAAGTATGTTAAAGAAAAATATGTTTACTTATTAATAATTATCTACATAATCATTTATTAAGAAAGAATATCATGTCTAACCTTAAGATTTTATGTTCAAAACATTAAAAACAACAATTGATAGAATTGAATAATTAAATGAAAACAAAAATTGGTTCTTCTTTTATTCTTAATATGTTTTAAATGCAATTGAATAAGCCTATTAAGATTTATGTTATGATGAAGAGAATAAACCATTTACAGTTCTTGGTATTGCAATGACTCATAGTTTAGCAGTATAATTGATTGCAAGTTTTCTTGGAATATTTGGTACTATAATAACAAGTATTTACTTTCATATATGAATATTAATATTTTATTAAATTATTTATTAATTTATTTGTATAAATTATATTAAGTATTTTATATATATTTATCATACAATCTTTAGGGATGTATTTGCAGCTTTAAACATATAATTTTTTTCTATATTTCTATCATTTTTTTAATTGTTTCTTTCTATTATTTTTGATACCAATACTTTATTATTATTTGGTTATAATATATTATTATTATTTGTTTTAGAATTATTTATTTAAATAGGTCCAAATGATCCTAATATATCTTATTCAGGTTTCTTATCTTCTTGATCTGAATGTGAATCTAATAACATCATTTAATATGAATTCTCTACATCATCTCTCTCTATCATTTATGAATGTCCTTCCTCATAAAAATCTTCACTTGTTATTTCAAATGAAGCAACATTTTTAATACTATAATCCTACTTTGGAGTCTTTACTGAAGATAAAGCCATTCTACTTACTTTTGGTTATGTAGAATATTCTTTCTTTTCTAAACTTTAATACACACTATCATTTGGTTCTTACTTACTATTTTAATCTTAAACGTTTTTTTTTATTAAACATGTTTTTAATTATTGAATTGAAATTAGATGACTTAAATTAATTGGTTCATTTAATGTAACTTTAAGTACTTCAATAGGAATTTTAGCTATAAGATCAGTTTTACCAATAAATATTTGTAGATTTTTATGATAACTAGCCATAATTTCATTAAAAGGTTCATTTTAAATTTATTTGATAATTTAATTTAGATTACATTCAATATCCTTTTTCATACACATTGTTTCAGATTTAGATTACTATAAACTTTAAATACTTTCATCATATTATTTTGATACATTCTTAAAATTATTGTATAACTATTATAACTTTTTCATTTTCTCTTCTTCTAATTATTAAAAAATTTGAGTATGAAACTTTTCAACTTTTTCTTTTTGTTATTCATAGTATTTTGAAATGTCATCTCTTTTTGTAATTAAAGCATTCATCATTTTATCAATATGAGGAATATTGTTATTTACTTAATTGATAAATTGATTTATTTATTTCTTTCTATATTCTTCTTCAAGACCTGGCATCTCTTCAACTTTTTATCCTTTTCCCATCATTTACACTGCACATTTAGAACATAGATATATAGAATTATCTTTTGCCACATAATACTTAGCACTTTTATTTGAATGATTGACACAACAAACTCTGCTTATGTTTGTATCATCTTTTAACTTGATTTTAGTTGGAGTCAACCTTTATCTAATTGATTTCATATTTTACTCTAAAAAATTTGAATTTAAATTATTTATAATCAAAAAAAGCATTTTAGATTATTAATCATATTTAGTAATAATAAATATTGATTCATAATGTACATATAATTGATTTAATTTCTAAAGGGATTTTTGGTTATTTTAAAATACTCATAAAAATATATAAGTATTTATTATTAATCTATGGAGTTGGAAAATAATAAGATAGAAGAAATTACTTATTTGATAAGATAGAAATAAATTCAATTAGAATTCGATAATAGTGATAAAAATCTGTAAGTAATTCTTTCTAACTAAATTAAGTCATGATATTGAATAAGGTAGAGAGGAGTAGGATTAAAGAATAAAAAAGTTAATAGAAGTAAGACATTCAATACTAATAATATTAAGGATTTAGATTATGGGGATAGATTAGAATGGATTGAATATCACAAATCTTAAGGATCATTATATTATCAAAAATAATAATATAGAAAAGCTTTAAATGAGTATTACTTATCAATGTTAGCATTGAATGATAGTAAAATGTGGAGAGAATAAGGAATTTCTCTTATACACAATATTTAACTCATATTAGAATATTTAAAGATACCTGCTACTAAAGAATTATTAGAATTTGTCTTATATATTGACATTTATAATATTAAGTCATATTTTAAAATGGGCAAATTTTATAGTGGAGAAAAAAAATATCAAATTGCTTTGTAAATATCTGTGTTAATACAGGCCCTATTTTCAATAAGGTGAAAAGCTATGTAATTAGATGTAAGATAAAGAGTCATAATAAGATTTTCAAAAGCAAATATTAGAATGTAAAAAACAGTTAAATTTGGGTAGATGATGAGAAGACTCTTAATATATATATTTGACCATAATAATAATAAATATATCATAATAATTCTACATCCTATTCAACAAAGAATTCTTTTTTCTAGAAATCTGAATTTGGATCTTAAATGCTTATTACATTTTTTACTTCTTATTCATTCTGGCATCTTACCTTTTTCACTATTTTATCTACAAAATTATTTTTTCTTTCAGGAATATCAATATCTTATACAGGTTATCCACCCTTTCTTATAGAGTATTCTCTATATTCATGATATTTTGGTAAAATATTGATATACATGATGGCTCCATTTACTTCTACAAAGAAAACAAATTCAGGCTCTTACCAATCTTAATAATGTAAAGGTTCTATTAAGCCTTATAAAATTGATAAGACTTATTGTTTATTAATTTTATCTGTGTATCTTGTCTTAAATATAAGAAACCATGGATGTGGTCTATCTAATTAAAAGTATTTATTCACAAGGAATTAAGCATGTTTTTTAAATTCATCCAAAGTTGCTCTAAATACATATTAAATGGGTATCATTCTGTATATATATCTTGCAACTTGTTGTTACTTTTCATAGACATCACTTAATATTATACGACTCAATTCATCAACATCTATAGAAGGGAATTCTTAATTATTGATTCTGATAAAAATCACACACTTCACTTTAGTATCAAAATTATAAAGCATTTTAACAATAGCTTTATTATTTGTATTTTATTCAAGTAATTTTTCATGTTTTTATGATTCTTACGGATAAATTAATTCAACATATTGTTCAATAATTTAATAAGCTTCTTTAACAGCTTCTCTTTCTCTATTTTTATCACAAGTAATTAAAAATCCATTATATAGAAAATCTGATTGAGAATTTTATTGACCAGATCTTTAATGTTTTTGGAATTTCTTTTTTTTATATTTTTGTTATTGCATTAATAATTAATATTTTATTATTTGTATTTATTATTAAATATAAATGGGTGCAACTTAAGGAATCACTTAGAAAAAAATCTCACTCCGTTACTAAAAATCAATTGATGTAAGATCTACAAATGAAAATCTCACAAATTGTAGATCAGTCTCTTCGTAAGACTCGATCAAATTAGGTTCATGTTATAAGATAGCTGTATTGGGTATGAATACAGCAGTTGGAAAAACAGCCTTTATCTGTAGTCTAATAAATTAAACTCCGATGGTTAGTAATTTGCCTTAAACAATTGGATTAGATGTTAAATGCATGTTATATTAACAATAAAAAATTCAATTTTGGGTAATTTGTTGGGTTAATTGTGTAAGGAATTCGATTCAAGTGAAGGAGGATTGTTAGATTTAGAAAATAGAATAAATGATACTTTTAACTGTATAATGATAATTTTTGAATAATTTGATGTTTCATTGTTTAAAAAGAGAATTGTGTAAGTTTAAAAAATATGTAATGAAAATAAAATGACAGGGAAAGTTCCTATACATTTAATAGGGAATGATAGATTAGATATGAAAATATCTGGTAAAGAAAAAGAAATACAGAAAATGATTCAAACAATATATGATGGAAACCGTATATTTGTACATATTGTTGATTTTACTTAAATCAAAGAACTTAATAATTTGTTATAATTTGTATTCAAAGAAAAATGATTGTACATATAATTATATATCTCAAAAATACTTTATAATCATCATAATTATGAATGCAGATATAGAAAAAGAACGATTGAGACCTATTCGACGTCATGGGTGTAGTGACATACAACTTTATTAGGCAGTAAGTTGGATATATACAGTTTTCGATATGATTATATCTTTTATGATTGCATTTTTAATGGATGAAGGAGTCAAGGTTGTTAATGCTAATTTAAGAATTTAGGAATTTATGTTGATTGTCCTTACTATTCTAACAATGGGTATCATCTATACTTGCTTAAGAGCTACACTTATAGATCCTACTGATAGTATTGTCTTAAAGGAATAAAACTTTAAATTGAAAGGGTGCATCATCATATTTATTTTTAGATTGGAATTTAAGACAGACCTTAAGACTTATTGTTTAGTATGTTAAGCACATGTAATGGAAAAGTCTAAGCATTGTTTTAGTTGTAATAAGTAACATATTAAATAATAAGGTGTGTTGAAGTATTTGATCATCATTGTATTTGGTTAAATAATTGCATAGGCATTAAGAACTACAACTATTTTTTTATATTGGTGATCCTACTTGTCATTTTCAAATGCTTAAGAATTATACAAGATATTCTTCTTTTACTGAATTATGCCTTTTAAATTCTTGCTCTTATAAGTATTATTCTTGATCCTCCAATCCTTTTTGTTCTTTCTTATTTATTGGGAATGCACCTATTCTTTAAGTAAGCCATCAAATCTAAATGAAGGTACAAAGGTATTTCGACCTATGATTGGATTAAGATGAAAAAAGACAAAGAGAAATTGAAGGTATAGTAATAGCAATAATTACCAAAAATGAATGAAAGTGCAGGTTATGGATAATTGTTATCTACTTCTAAACGTTTTGATCTCAAATCCTCTTTGTCTAATAAAACAGATAACAAAGTTCCTTAATAAAACTTCTTCCCAAAACCTTTACCTCTATAGGTTTCTAAGAATTAGAATCTTTCAGGTCCTTAAGTTACTTAATTATAAAGTATTTTTACTAATAAGCCTACATCCCCAAATAATAATGAATAATTAAGAAAGGAATATGAAGAAGTAGATGGAAGATAAATATTTAATAAGGTAATTGCTGAGGATAGTGAACCATAATAGAATAGTGATTCAAGGAATGAAGAAAATGATCATGAAATTGATAATGAAATTGAAATAGAAATTTAAAATAAAAATGAACAATCTGAAAAAGAATAAAATTGAATAAAAATACCTTTTATTTATTTTTAAATCATTTCTTTACTTTTATATATATAATATAATGGAAGTTATTTAACAATTCAATTTATATATTAATATATATATGGATGAAGTTTTATTAGAAAGTTTGACACATAAATTTAGTGAATTATTTAAAAACATATCAAGTCTATAAGAAAAGAGAGAGACAGTTTAAGATGAAAATGAACATTTGAAGCAATTAATTTAAGAGGAATAAGATTAATTGGAAATGAATTCAGGAGAGTCTTCTGATGATGAAATAGTTTTCTAAGAAATAGAGTAAAAGTGTAGATAAAAATTAGAAGAGAAAAAGGAATCTGATATGTAAATGAAGGAAGAAAATAATTTGAAAAGTTAATTAGTAAATATTATTTAAATTTAGTATATGCATCTTGAAGGTATTCAAAATGAAATTATATAAATGAAGAGTAGTATTGAATAATCAAAAGAATCAGAAGCTGATTTATAATAAAGAATAGAAGAAACAACACAAAAAATAGATGATTATCAAAATAAAATACAAAAAGCTGAATAAATTAAACTTTAAGTAGAAAAACAATTATAGGAAGTATAATGGCTTTTGTAATATTAAGCAAAATGAAAAGTATTTATAAGATAACGAAAAAGTAAAAGTAGTTTAAGGTGAAGTTAGAAATTAATTATAAGCAAATGCAATGGGAGATAAGAGATAAAATGAATTAGAAAAGATAATATAAAAATAATGGGAAGAACTATAAAAAAGAGTAAATAATATATATTTAATATAAGACATAAAGAATATAAGTATTATAAAATAATATGAATATTATATCAATCAAAATACAAAAATCATAAAAGAGTGAAAATATATATTAAAAATTGAAAGATGAAAACACAATTCTAGCTTAAGAGAATATTTAAATAAGAGAAAAATTAAATTAATTAATAAGTGCATTACCATAACATATGAAAAAAGGTAATGTTAAAGGAAAATAGAAAAGTAAAAAAGAATTCTTAGAACTTTATGATGAATCAATTTGTTCCAATTAAATTAAATTAAGACATTTAGAATAAATAAGAGAAGAACATCAATCAAATATTAATTGTTTACATGTATATAGATTTAATTTAATTCTTAGAGTGAAATACTTCAATTAGAAGAAAAATATAATTTAATGACTTAAAATGTTAAGAATCTTTAAGAATAATATTTAGAAATTGAATCATCTTTTAGAGAATTCAATGAAGATGAATATGTCAAGAAAAATTGTCCAAATTATTATAAAGTTAAAAAGGGAAAATGATAGTTATAAGTTTAAGATTTGAGATGTCTAATTAATAAATTTTTTATTATAAAAATGGATTAAAATATATTTGATTCCTTTGGAGGGGATGGTTAAATTTCAGATCTTATTGATTAGTTTTATTATAAGGTCTTGTTTGATCAAACTTTAAGAGGAAAATTTTTAAAAGCTGATATGACAAGAGTGAGACTTTAATAAAAAACATTTTTTGCTTAAATGTTTGGCTGTCCTCACACCAAATACACTGGAAAGTAATTTTGAATATCAACTAAAAGAGATTTAATTGAAGTTCATAAGAATTTGAATATCACTAATTAATAATTTGACAGATTCTTACATCATCTAAAATGCATATTAAGTGATATGAACAAACCAGCAGAATTGATAGATCAAATTATAAAGAAAGTTGATAGTCATAGAAAACTGATAGTGTTTGAATGATATAAACATAATATATTTTAATAAATGAGTACTTTATTAAACAATAAATCAATATAAGATTATATATATATATTATTATATTTATTAATATTAAATAAAGAAGACCTTTATAAGTCAATTTAAATATTTAATATAACCTTATTATATGAAACTTATATGATTGATTAAAACATTTATTAATAAAAAAGAATTAATAATGATAAATTAATCTTAGACTTTATTTCATTATTAAGATATCACTATATAAAATACATTAAAAACCATTAATATATTTCTATTTAATTAAAAGATAAATTCTTATTAATCTCTAACTTATTATTAATTGAACATTAAAATGATTTGGTTTTCATATTTTTCATTAATGTCTTTTATATCATATAGAGTTTTTTAAGGATATCAAAGAAATAAACTTTATATAAGTGAATAATAAATTTTTGTTATTTTGATGTTATCATATGAACATATTTTAACTGAATTATGTTTAGATAAGTTTATAAAATTCAAAAATTTAGTTATGATTTTATTTCTATATATAATATAAATAAAATTTAATCTATAATTATATTTTGTTCTTGTATAGACATATAATCATTAAATCTTATTTGTTTTATAATATATATTTTTAAGGTTTTATATCATTATTCTTAAATGAGTGAAATCCTATTTGTATCTAATTTTATATATTAAATTATGTATTCAAAAATTCATTATATAAATATAATATTCAAATTTATCTATTACATATTTATAAATTAACTAATATCTACATATAGGATAGTAGTATCAATAATTAATGAGATGAATTGAATTCTAGATATACAATACTAACTTAGAATTTTACTTAAACTTATTGTAATTAAAATCAATTATAATATTAAACTCAATGTTTATAATAATTATTAATTATACAGTTAAGCCTTTTTTTCTTAAGCTTCCATTGACAATTAAATTGAGTCATATTTATTCATAATTTTATTTATAATTTAGTGTAATTATAAATTAGATACAGTCTCTATAGTTATTTTAAATAAATCTAAATAGTGAGATACTTAATTAAATATCATTAATGTTTAATAACCATAAGTTTAGAATCCACTTTAAGAGATATTATCTTTCTAAACATGATATATTAAATATTAAAATAATACTCACTCTTTTGACTTAATTGTGTGGATATTCATAATAATTGATATTTATACAATAGGTTATAACTCTAAATCATGTTTGTAATGTTTAGAAATGCAAGATTATATAAATAATTAAAATGAATAATAATGTCGTTGTTTTTAGTAGGGCAAATTAGAGTGATGAAAGTGAAGCATCTTCTGCTTTACCTGATCAAGTTGAATCTTAGGTAGATTATTTGAAGACAAAATTGAAATTATGCACATAGACTTTGAAGAGTATATAATTTATTTAGATTTTATAGCTTAGGAAACATAGATAAGGTAATTAAGATAGGAGAATGAGAAATTAAGATAATTGAATGCAGATTATGTGAATTAGATGAATTAGATGGCATCAGATAAATATTAGAAGATTGAGAAAATAGTTGTTACTTAATAATTTTTTGAATAGAAGAATATAGATAAGCAATTAAAGGATTTTATAAGAAAGATGACATCTAATTTTGGTGGTCTTGAAAAAAGTCATATTAAATTGATAGATCATTGTAAAGTGATGGAACATGATTTGAATTATTATAAGTAACGAGTTGTGGATGCAGAAGAGATAATAGAGAATCTAAGAAGTGTTGGTAAGAATAGTGTTGCAGAACTAATGGATGAATTAAAAGGACTATAAAACTAAGTAGATGATTTAACTAATCAATTATAAAAATCATAATTTGATTTAGCTGTGAAATAAGGTGAATTGGAAAGGAAACAATAAGAATTAGATGATTAAGTAGCATAATGTGAATCATTATTACATGAATTAGATGATATAAAAACAAAATAAAATAGAATTCTAAGTGATAATATAGAATAATAGAATAAAGATGCAAAGATGGTAATTATTAATTAATGATTAGATTTATTAATTGAAATTAAAGAGTGACTTTCTTGAACATGAACGTAGATTAGCATATTAAGATGCTTAATGTGCAAATTAAGATAAGAATAATATGTTAGCGTAATGAATGATTATTAATTTAGTAAATAATAAAACATAGAAACAGAATTGGAAATGTTAAGAACTACAACAGACAATTTCTTAAAGAAAAATAAGCACATCTTCAATTTGGCTGGACTACCTAAAGTGTAGTTCAAATGATTAAATATCATTATGTATTATTGACATCAACCTTCTGTATCTTCCATACCATTATGCATTTATCTTATTCTGACGTTGTAACCAAAGTTTCCTTATCTGGACTGGCAACACATTGATTAATGTACATCATATGATCAGTATATATACGCATATATCCTTATCCAGAAGTACATGGATAATTGAAAATTCTTATTGTTCCCATATCATCAGTAACCTTATTTTTTAAGATATAATATATTACAGCCATAGACTTATCTCCAATCAATGTTATTTTATGAATTCTATTTTCATCAGTATAACAAGAATGTACTCCTTTGGCTTTTTCAGCTAATTTGATACCATCACTACACCATTCCAAATCAAATTCCATATGCATACTATTGATTCTTTTTTATTAATCTAAATCTATAAGAGCAGTTTCATCTGAAACATCTTTATAGAATAAATAGAAATTATCAGTTGAGAAATCCAAATATTCTACACTTGTATTAAGATTGTCAATGCTACAAAGTAATCTAAAATTATTTTCTTCATTTTCAACATCATATATTTCAATTTTAGCATTTTATTCTTGATTTCTTGAGAGAGCTAAAGCAAGCATTTTTTCATCAACACTCAATTTCATATCTGAAATGGCTGATTTCTATTTTAGAGAATAATTAGAATTAACACTATAATCATGATCATTTAAAACAATAACTTCTTATTCAAAAGCTATAATAATTTTAGGTGATAATTTGCAAACTATTAAATTTAAAGTTGCCTTTTCAAATGCAAAAGAATATGTACGTTTTAATTTTCTTAAATTCCAAACTGCAAATAATCCCTTTTATGTTATAGAATATAATTTTTAAGCATTACCAGAAAAAGCTACAACTTTTGGTTAATCATGATCAGTACAATTAATTCTTAATTTAACCATATCCTTTTATATTTTTGTTAATGCTATATATTATATATATATATATATATTTACATTTCAAATCAGATTCATTAGGTCTTACTAATTCATAAATATCACCACTTCTAGTTCCTGCCAATATATAATTCTATCCAATACATACTGATTAAACATGTAGATTTGGATTCAATCCAACCTTCTGTAATTATTCATTAGCTATACTATATTCATATATCTTTTCCACAACATAAGAATATTCAGATTTACTCAAAGACCATAAAATAACACGTCCATCCATACCTCCAGATACAAACATAGAAGAATCTTTACTAGTATATAAACAAAATATAGGTTAATCTGGATGAGCTTTTTATTTTTTATTTATTTTTTTATCATCCCAAACATAAATAAATCCATCTTCACCTGCTGTAATAATTGCATCTTAAACAAATATCACAGTTAAAAATGTTATTCTTAATGCATCTTATTCCTATTCATTATCTTAAACTCCTTCTTATTCATCATTCTAATTCTCTACTAATTCTACTAAATCTTTTGGATTTTCAATTTCCATTGCTTAAAATGTTAATGAACCTCCTGCAAATTACCAACAAGACATATGTTACACTCCACATGTTACAAATCTAAAAACACTATTAGGATAAAATTCTAAATCTTTAATCTTATATGGAATTGAGTATGTATAAGTTACTACTCCCAATACTTAATGATTTTCAGAATCTATCAAAAGTATTTCTTATCTATATTCTTGAGTAATTGCATTACAAATTAGATGTCTATTATCATATGCAAATTTTATATTCATTATCATAACTGCATTATTTATTACAATATTCTTAACACAAGTTCTTGAACATATATCCCATATCAATAATTTTGCATTTAATTCAATAGTACCAGCACATAATAATTTCTTATCTTAACTCAAAGTAATACATGAAATCTCAGGTGATGATGATGTATCTGATTAATCTAATTTTATGAATTATTAAAACACTGAATTATTTTCTGATTATAATTATCCTCCATTATATTTCTTAAATTAAGATGTAATCTTATCATCTTATTCATCCTCATCATCCAAACTAGCAATTACCAAATTACATCCTGCCACATAAATTAATCTTTCATCATAATCGTAAAATAAATTATTCCTTCTAGTAAAAGCTCTTCTTCCTATTATACTCTCCAATTTAAGTTCCACTTCAGGTTGTTTAGTATCATCCACATTTTTTACTTTATCTGATATACCTTAACGTAAAGGCAATAATTCTGAAAATAAACTTTTGAATTTCTCTTTCTCTTGTACTTCTTAAAATAAATCAGCTTGTTTCTTATCATAAATCAAATAATCCAAATCCCAATTCTATTATTCTTCTGTCAATTTCCATTTCATAATACATTCATCCAATATACCTGTTGTATATAAATATTAAGCATTTTAATGAGTTTCTATCTAATTCACAAATGAAACATGAGCAGAATATGATTTAGCCAAACATTTTTACTTTTTACTAATTTCTGTAATAAAATCTTTATCATAATAAAGACAAGATGATTTTACCAAATGTAAATCTCCATTAGTACTTCCACATATTAAAAATGGAGATATATCTACCATCACTGACATTACTGGAGTCTTTAATATTTCATTTGCCAAATTTGTCTCTTATTCTTACTTCTACTTTGGATTACCTATTAAAGAATCATAAAATTGATATTATGAATGTAAACTATTTGGAAAATTCAACTTCTTCCATTATATGTTTTTAATTGTCTCCCAATTTTTGACTGATGTATTTGA